TGTCCTATTATGTTAGCATCCATCCGATGTCTCACTGCCCCATGTCTCCACAGGCTGGTCAGTCAAAAGCCGGACCAGGTTTAGCAAGATCTCCAGCGTCCACCTCTGTGGCCGCCGCTACTGCTTTGACAGTGAGGGTGAGCTGGTGGCCCCAGGCCAAAGTTGGGAGAGGCCCCAGGGGTGTTTCTGGTGGAGTTGACAAGCCTGCTCTTATAGGTGACATCCAGCGTTTCCAAAGGGACTTTGTGTCTCGCCTGTGGCTTACATACCGCCGGGACTTCCCACCCTTTGCTGGCGGCTGCCTGACTTCAGACTGCGGCTGGGGCTGCATGTTGCGAAGTGGACAGATGATGTTGGCACAGGGCCTCATGCTGCATTTCCTGCCCAGAGGTGAGGGGTGGAGGGGCAAGGGCACACCAGGAATATGAGCCTACCACATAGGTCAGCAGTGTTAGAATTGCTTGTAACTAAAATTTAAATTCATGTTATCATTGTGTATAAAGTAAGTTTTCAGGGGGAGCTAGTGTAGTTTGTAAGTTTCAAGAATGTGAAAATTGTTAAATATGGGGTCTCAGGAGCGTTAGAATTGTGCATAAAGCATGAGTAAATGGGAACTGTGACCCCACGCACTGGCACTGGTTGACAATGTATTCTGTCCCCACCAGACTGGACCTGGGCCAAGGGTGCAGGCCTGGGCCCACCTGAGCCATCAGGGTTGGCCTCTCCCAACCAGTACTATGGACCTGCCCACTGTATGCCCCCACGCTGGGCCCAGCATGCTCCCGAGCGGGAGCAGGAACGCCAGCATCGGCAGATTGTGTCCTGGTTCGCCGACCACCCTCAGGCCCCCTTTGGCCTACACCAGCTGGTGGAGCTTGGGCAGAGCTCAGGCAAGAAGGCAGGTGACTGGTATGGGCCATCTCTTGTGGCACATATACTCAGGTGAGGGCCACAGCAGGGGGCATGGGAGCTACTGGGTACCCCAAGGAACTTAAGCCTTTCTTCTTGGCCCTAGGAAAGCTGTGGAGAGCTGCTCAGAGGTCACCCACCTGGTGGTATACGTTTCTCAGGACTGTACAGGTAAGGTTTCTCATAACCAAGGTCATGGGGTTCTCATCCTGAGCAGGCAGCTGCTTCTTAGGACCCCATCTTTCTCGGAGGCTGAAACAAGTTCTGGTCAGATTCAAGGCCTACACTGGGAGAGATGCTCAGGATCCCTCCAATCCCTCTAGATCCAGGAGAGGAGACTTCAGGGGCTTCTCCCCAGGTGACAGAAAAAGGACATAGGTGCAGCAGGTTCAGTGTCTGGTGGGAGCTCACTCTCCGATTCACTTTGCTGGTGAACCGACCGATTGCTCAGGACCAATCACCCCCATCCTCATGTGGCAGGATGAGCAAGCAAGCTCCCTGGGGTGTCATTTTTATTTATTTTCCTTTTCAGGTGTAATTGGCCTATAACAGTGTATTTCAGGTATACAACATTATGATTCAATATTTGTGTACAGGGTGGGGCAAAAGTAGGTTTATGGCTGTTCATATGGAAATAATATAATACAAGAATAAACTCTGTGTTTCATGTACTCACAACTATAACCCTACTTTTGCTCCACCCTAATACACTGGAAGTGATTACCACAATAAATCTAGTTAACATCCATTACTATACATAGTTTTAAAAATTGGGGGCGTACCTCTTTCATGAGGGCACTAATCCCATTATTGAGGGGTCCACCCTCAATGACCTAATCACCTCCCATATTACCATCTTAGAATTAGGATTTCAACAAGCTTTCAGATCACAGCAGCTATGTCTCCAAAAAGGGTTGAATCTGCTTTTCTGGGCACCAGCAAGGGAAGAGGGAGAATGGGCAGCAGTGGATCAGACCTGAAGAGGAGGGACACACAGGGCCAATCGGTCTGGGGCTGCTCCGTGCTCCCGTGTCCGTCCTGGCAGACCCGGACAGAGTCAGCGAGGGCTGGTCAGGCCTGGGACTGGGGATCGGCTCCACCCCCTCCCGGCTGTGTGTTCTTCATCTGGCTCTCAGGGTCTTGGTTGCTCTCTGTAAAATGGGGGCCCCATGATTATCTGAGGGAATTTAGGGGTTCCAGAAAGACTTCCTTCTCCACTGACAATGGGAGCGTCACCCCGTGCCCCAGAATTGCTTGGGTGAGGTTGGGCCCCAGGGATGGAGGGCCATACTCCCAAGCTTGAAGGGTGATGAGAAGATGACCTGCTGTCCTGTCCTTCCAGTGTACAAGGCAGATGTGGCACGCCTGGTGGCGAGGCCGGACCCCGCAGCTGAGTGGAAGTCTGTGGTCATCTTGGTGCCCGTGCGGCTGGGTGGCGAGACTCTCAACCCTGTGTACGTGCCCTGCGTGAAGGTAGGTTCAGCCAGATTCACCATGCCTCCCTCAGGAGCTCTCCAGGGCTTTTCAGCTTGGGTTAGGTATACACGCCTTCTTTGTTCCTTCATTTGTTTATCCAGTAGTTACAGGGCACTTGATATGTGCCAAGCAGTCTCCCAGCTACTGGCGATTCAGAAATGAACAGGCAAAAACGTGCCTTCTGGGAGTGAGCACTCTAATGACAGGCAGTGAATCTGGAACCAAATAGACAGCTTTGGCGTTACAACCCGGACTGTAAAGGAATGCAAACTAATGATGGAGGGCAGGCGGGGGTGGCTGCAGAGCCTAAGAAAGCCCCTCTCCTGCCAGGGGCAATGAAGAGCCAGAGGAGGAGCATTCCAGGCAAAGGGAACAGCAAGGCTGGAAAGACCCTGGTGTGTTTACACTCAAACCAAAGGCCAGAGATCTCCCCACAGCCCACAGGACCCCGCATCCTGTCCCTGTCCCTTCCTGCACTTCATCTGTCCCCACTCTCCTCGCTCTGCTGCAGCCACAGGGGCCTCCTTACCGTTCTCAGAATACACCTGCCTCCGGACTTCGCACTTGCTCTTTCCCAGGGTGCTGAACTGTCATCTTGGCTGAAACATCACCCCCAGCGAGGCCTTTCCTGACTCCTCTACTTAGACTTTCAAAGCCCCCCACCTGCTCTATCCTTTTCCCAGTGTAATCACTTCCTGACACATGACATAACTCATCTTCTTTCTCGTTCGTCTACCACACGTCTACTCCGTAAGACAATGTCTGTCTTGGTCACAGCTGTTCCCCAGGGCCCAGCATGGGCCTGGGCTCACACACATGGGGTGTTTGCTAAGCATTTGTTGAGGGACTATCTGACAGTACCTGCCCTGAGTCTTCACCTTTGTCCACTGTCTTCCCTGCAGGAGCTTCTGCGTTCAGAGCTGTGCCTGGGCATTATGGGGGGCAAGCCACGGCACTCGCTGTACTTCATCGGCTACCAGGGTAGGCATGCCCCATCCGTCTCCATCCTGCCTCACCTTCCCCTTCCCCACCCCTGCTTACACCTCCTTCCCTGCAGATGACTTCCTACTCTACCTGGACCCCCACTACTGCCAGCCTGCTGTGGATGTCAGCCAGGCTGACTTCCCCCTAGAGGTGAGCTAGGACCCACAGGGTGGGGTTGGGGGCATGTGGAGGGAGCTGGGGCCCCCTGAGCTGCTTCTTTTGTCTGCCTCAGTCCTTCCATTGCACCTCACCCCGCAAGATGGCTTTCACCAAGATGGACCCAAGCTGTACTGTGGGGTTCTACGCTGGAGACAGGAAGGAGTTTGAGACACTGTGCTCAGAGCTGACCAGGGTGAGAAAGACTGGCAGAGGGTGAGGGAAGAGACGCAGGGGTGGAGTGGGAGAGTAATAGGCCTTAGGCCAGCAGACCCGGAGAAGTTGCTTCCAGGCTGAGTCAGCAAGGTTATCCTCCTGTCCACAAGTTACAAAAGCCTGGCTCTGAGTAGACCCCAAAAGGGGGGTGTAATATGAAAAGTTAGGGGCTGTGCTGCTTTGGGGGACAGCTACATTTGGGAGCTCAAGTGGCAGGACCTTCCCTGTCTCTTGGCTCTACTCTCCCATCAGGGCTTTACCCTTACGGTGGCAAGGGTTGGCTGTCAGCCTCTAGGCACTGCTAGTTTAGTGGAAAGGAAGCCCCACGATCCCAACATGCAGTAAAATCCTAGGGCCACCTTTCATTGCCCGCACTGGGTCACATGCTCATCACCGAGCCCATTGCTGTCCTGGGCAATAGAAGTGCTAATTGGCCGGCCCGGATCATTGCCCTGGGATAATAACTATGCCCACAGGATCAGTAACTGGTTACTGCTTTGGGGACTGAGCGGCTGTCTCCTTCCTCCCACCAGGTCCTCAGCTCCTCGTCGACCACAGAGCGGTACCCCATGTTCACCCTGGCCGAGGGCCATGCTCAGGACCACAGCCTAGACAGCCTCTGCTCCCAGCTCCCCCAGCCGACTCTGCAGCTCTCCCGGACTGGGCGGTTCCTCAAGGCCAAGCGCCCAAGCTCTGAGGACTTTGTGTTTTTATAAAAGGGACAGGATGGGGGAGAAGATAGGATAAACATTATTTATTTTTTTATTTATGTCACACTGGGTGTGGGAGCTTGGGTTCTGATGGTGATGGTACTTCCCTCCTCTCACCCCCTTGATGAGTGCAGCTGAGACCAGCACAGGAAACCTCCAGGCTGGGGCCACCAAGCTGGGGACCCAGCCTATGGGCCTGCCTCCTGCCAGCTGGGCCCCCCTCACAGGGCAGGGAGGGAGGGACAACAAGCAGGCTCCTAGGCACCCACTCAGGGCCTGACTCACATACTGTAGTTTGCACTGGACTGCCTGTGCCCCTTACTGGTCTTCAAAGCCCCTGTCCTGCCAAGGCCTGGTGGTGGGGCAACTATGGCTGCTCGGGGCTAATAAAGCTGTCTGACTTGACCTCAGCTCTGGCTGGACCCAGCATTTGAGAGATGGGACTCAGGGTGTAATCTCAAGGTGAAGTGTCCAAGTCTCCTGGGGAGCTTGTTAAGTAGCCCTCACCTTCCACATCTGTTAAGGTGGGAGTTCTCCCTTGCCCACAGGGAGATGTGGGTCTATACAGTTAACAGGAGGAATGCATCCAGAGGCTTGATTGAAGGACAGGAACACGCAGGCCCTTGCCTACTGCATCAAGCTCAAGGGCCGCTCTTGGGCCTCCGCTGCTTCCTCTGTTGCCAGCCCAGCAGGCGGAAGTGCAGCCGTTTTGGATTGAGACCGAAGGCCTGCAGTCTCTGGTGGCTGAACTCCTGTCCTCCAAGCTTCACTGTGGGGCCCAGGAGACGAGCCTTCTTGCCCCTCCTCCGCCTCTGGGGGGCTGGCTTCTCGGCAGGCAACACAGAGGCCTCTTTCTGTGCTGGGGGGCTCTCAGGCTGGGGCTGCTTCCTGCAGGCCCCATCAGGTGACAGCAGCTGCCCCTGTGGGCCAGCTTTGTCTTTCTGTGGCTTCCTTGTGGCTTCTGTGGGTGTCTCTATCCTGGGGGAGGAAAGATGGGACTCAGGCCAGGCACAATGAGGCCCCTTCCCGGGTGCATTTTAAAGCTATGTAAGGAGAGGCTCAGAGAAACAGCAGCACAGTAGTTCAGAGGCCTGCCTGCAATTCACACGTGCATCTGACAAGCACTGGGGTTTTCCTGCTGGACCCTGAGGCTGGATTGTGTTGCCGATAATTCTGGTATCTTAACCTCTGTTTATACTAAGCTACTCATATAAATTAACTCATTCCAGCTTTAAATCAACTCCAGGAACTACCATCCCTGCTCTGTAGACCAGGAAATAACATGATACAACAGCCAAGTGGAATTAACTGTTTTAAGCACGTCTCGTGAATTTATCCACTTAATCCTCAAAAACAAGAAATTAGCCATATTTAACCCTGTTTTATAAATGAGGAAAGAGGTTCAGAGAAGGGAAGTGACCTGCCCAAGGTCACACAGCTGCAGCCCATCCAGAATTTGAACTCAGGTCTCAGGGGAGGGCCCAGCCCTAGGTCTTGCAGCAAATGGCTGACAGAACAAGACTCAAATCCAGGCCTGGTGGGCTCCCCAGCCCACCCTCCCTTTGGCAAGCAACACTCACTCCTCTGGGCAGAGCGATTTGAAGATCTGCCTCTTTTTCCATGAGTTCTGGGCCTTCTGGCTATACGCCCTCTTGTCCTGCAGCTCCTCCTGCTCCGACCTTTGGGCACCCAGCAGACACACCTGTCAGTAGGTGCTCTGGGAGGTGCCCATGCATGCCTGCCCGCCCTTCCTCCCTGACACCTGGCCCAGCCCCACCCTGTCACCTGTACATGCAGGTCTTCTTCAGGGAGCACCACCGGTTCAGCTCCTTGTCGTCAGCAGCAAGGATCTGTATGGGAAGAGACAGTGGGGTCCTGCTGCGTGAGCCCTGGGGATGCCCTGACTCTAAGCCTTAGTCATCTCACCAGTCAAGGCAGGGTAATGCTCGTACCACCCAGCAGGGACGTCCTGATGGTGGGAGAGAACTGAGGCCTGTGGAGGCCAATCCACGTTGCCCACAGAAGATATCAGATGGGAAAACAGGTTCAGAAAGGGGTTCCTTGCCCCAAGTCACACAGCCAGGAAGGGGCTGATTTTAGGTTCCGGGGCCCTGGAGCCCTCACCCATGCACCTCAGTCCCAGCAGCCTCAGGGCAGAGGTCACTATGCCAATCACTAGATTTGCTAGTTACAGACCAGGCCCAGGTTCTCAACCTCCAGGCTCCTGCCCCCAGCCTGCAGGGTCCTCATTTACGCGGTGAGCATCCCCTCAGAACCTACTGGGAGGTGCTTGAGAACGAGTGACTACAGATGGCAGAAGTTCAGCAAACATCAGCTATTTTTGCTGACCAGGGACAGTCAGGTGCCCACAGCCACCCTGATGGCTAAGGGACAAATGCCCTGTAAAGAGCCACATGTTTCAGCTCCACAGCCACTAGGCAGGGCTGTTACTAAGCCTGTTTTACAGATGGGAAACTGAGGCACAGAGCCTTAAGTCACATGTCCAAGGTCACAGCTGGGGAGTAGCTAAGGCAGGATTTGAACCCAGACCATCTGGTTCCAGAGCCCCCCAGTCTTAATGGCCACCTAGCTGCCAATATACAGTAACAGAAATAAAGAAACGGCTTACACCCCTGAGCAAGATGGGTTTGAACTGCCTGGGTTCATATATATATGTGGATTTTTTTTAAAAAATACAATGAATGTATTTTCCTTATAATTTTCTTAACATTTTTTCTCCAGTTTACTTTCTTATAAGAATATAGTATATAATATGTGTAACATACAAAATAGGTTAATCAGCTGTATATGGTATCAGTAAGGCTCCCAGTCAACAGCGGGCTGTTAGTACAGTCAGCTTTCTGCATCTGCAAAGGTTGAATCCACGGATTCGAAACTGCAGCTATAAAGGGAAAACGCTTGTTGGATTTTTGGGGAATCAAAAATTACACAGATTGTTTACTGGACAAGGGTCAGCAACCTAACCCCCATGTTGTTCAAGGGTCAACTGTGATATTTACAAGGGGCTGTTTGAAGCCCCCTTCTCACAGAAACCCTTTGAAGCAGGAAATATCAGTACTCTCATTAGCACTATTCCTGTCATTTTTGATATAAGGCAACAGCCTCTGGCTCTGTGCTCCCTCTTGCCTCCTGGGTGCCTCCCAGTGTCCCACATCCACCTGGGGCCCTACCTCTTCAGTGCTGAGCCCAAAGTCACAAGGCACCACGGTGCGGTACTTGAATCGACAGGGTAGGTCGTCGATGATGTCCTCGTAGTCCAGCCGGTAATACTCATCCAGGTACTCCTCGAAAGTCTTGTCCCCTGTGTGGGCAGAGGGCAGGGCTACTGGGGTGTGTTGGCCCTGCAGAGCCCCTGCCCACCCAGCACATGCCTACCCAGGCCTCACCGGGGTTGTACACAGGCTTCTCCTGCCCCACAGCTGCAGCGAAAGGCGACTTGCGCTTCCTTTTGCCCATTAAGGGGGCCTCACGCTTCCTCTTCTGAGGCTGGCTGGGATCATAGTCAGCATCCATCTGCCAAGACAAGCATGTCAGATCAGCCCTCATGGCCCATGGGACCCTCCAAGGCACCCCCTCTCCCCCTGCCGACGGCACCTACATTGAAGTCTGGGTCCTCACAATGCAGCTCCTGCTGGCTCCAGTCCCCACTGTGCTCCAGCCCAGTCCACGTGTCCCAGTTCCAGTCATCTGGTTCCAGAGGAGACAGGCAGGGATGGGTGCAGGGGGCTCAGGATGGGACCTCAGGCTTTAGGCCCAACACTCTCACCCCTGCCCAGTTACTTCACCTTCAAGCCCTTCCTCTTCCTCAAATCGTGGCTTCTCCTCCTCCATCGTGCCGTAGTACTCGTCCCCGAAGCATCTCTGCAGGGCCAGGGCCAGGCGGGTCAGCAGGACCCAACCCCTCCCCAACAGCTCTATTCCTGTGCCTTACATGGCCCTCTGGCACCCTCTCAGGACCCAGCTCCCAATGTGGGCCTGACAAAGCCGGCCAGAGGACTCCTCTAAGACCCCACATCCCCCTGCATGTCCCCATCACCACTCAGAACCCTGCAAGTTGCTCTCATATGGTTAAGTGCCTGACACTAGACTGGGGGCTCTGAGACGGCAGGGACCTATATGCTGCCTGTTGCTTGGCATACAGTGGGTGATCAGTGAGTGTTAGACTGGTTCTCGTCCCAGGATGGTTTTCACCTGGCCTGCCTATACGCCCTCAGTCCCCTCCCTGACTTACCAGGATGGTCAGGGGCCTCTTTGGGGCTCCCATGGTCCCCACTGCTCCCCACACAGCCTGCATCACCTGTTCTATGGCCTGATGTTACATTCCCAGAAACACAACAATAAATACTAACGGTGCAATAAATGAGTTTAAAGGAAATACAGTGACTCACTGTTTCTTAAGCATTTACCAACTAAACTTTTATATGTATTTTAAACCCTCAAGCTACCCTGACAACAGCTCTGTGGTAGAGGCGATGGTTAGACCCACTTTACAGACAGGGACAAAGGCTCAGAGAGGCTACACAGCCAAGAAACACCACTGATTCCAGAGCCCCAATCCCAAGCACTTGGCTGCACAGCTGGGCCCGAGTGTGGGGACCATACCTGCATGAGCTGGTCATGCCGTGTAGGGTCAAAGTCGTCCTCAAGGTCCTGTTCCTCAAAGCCCACTGTTTCATTGCCTGTGACCTGCCTCAGCTTCTGCAGCTTGGCCAGAATCTCCTTCCTCTTCAGGTTCTTCAGCTGCTTAAGTTCCTCCTGCTTTTTTGCTTTCTCCTATGGGTGGCACGCCAGATGAAGAGAGAGGGTATGGATTCTCTCCACAGGCTAGGGGCCCTCCTCAACCTACCACTCCCTCACACTCACCCTCCTCTTTCGCTCCCGCATCTCCTCCCTCTTCTCCTTCCTGCGCTCGTCCTTGCGGCGTACGGAGGATGCAATGCACCGAGGGTAGGTCTTGACCTATGGGCGAAAGAGATGACTCTGGACTCTCTCAGTGTGGCTGTTGTGGGCTGGCTCCTCCCAAGTCCCAGCCCTAGCAACCTACCAAGGCTGAGTCTGGCTCCTCGAAGCGGAAATTGTACTTTTGCTCAAATTCCTCCTGCTTCTTCAGAAACAGCTCCCCTTCATCTGAGGAGTCGTCTACAGACAGCTGGACCAGGGGGCCTGGGACCCTGAGGGATGAGAAAGAGCACGGCGGGGTCAGTGAGCTCCTGTGTACGAGCAGTATTAACACATTCAATCCTCCTAAGAACCCTATGGTAGGTGCCACTGTTACCCCAACTGTATAGATGGCAAAACTGAGGAATGGAAGTCTAGCAGCAGGGTGAGGATTTGAACTAGAACCACCTGACTCCAAAGCCCACACTCCACGGCTCTTCCTCACACGTGACTAACTCTGCTACCATTTGTGTGAAAAAGCAAACACCAGTGCCCTTGCTTTCCAGCCAGCGTTGACTCCAGGCCCCCAGTGAAAACACAGTGGCTCACCTTTCCTCTTCCTCCTCCTCCTCTTCTTCCTCCTCCTCATCTCCCTCTTCCTCATAACGCTTGCTGAGAATATAATCCCGCAGGAACTGCTCTCCCTCATCCAATTCTGGGTTGTTCCAATATTCCTTAAGGTGAGTCTGGGAGTGAAGGGGTGCCAGGACCCAGGTTAGACACTCAGAGGCAGGGAAGGAGGGTGGACGTGGGCATCAAGTGGATTCAAGTAACTGAAACTTCACAGCTGGCCCATGACATAGATGAAGGGCATTATTCCCACTTCATAGATGTACAAACTAAGGCCCAGGGAGGGGCCCAACCATCTTCATAATCTGTGCTCTTAGCTACCCTTTCAAGGGCTGGGTTCTGGAAACAGGCTGGATGAAGGCAGGAAAGGCAGTGTAGTTCTTCAGCAACCACACATGGAAACTCACCAAGTCTCGCAGGGTCTCAGGATTCTGAATCTCCTTCTGCCCCTTCAGCCATTCAATGTAGTCAGCATCCTCCTGGGCCTGGGGGAAGGCCAGCATGGAGGGTCTGCGGGAGCCCAAGCGCTGCCCATCTGCCAACAGCCCTCGTCCAGCGGAGGTCCTAGCACCTACCTCCTCCTCCTTGTTTTTAGTGCGTTTCTGCAGCAACCCGGAACTACCTTCCCCAGCGCTATCCTCATCTTCACTGTCCTCGACGAATGCTCGGAAGCTGCCCACACAAAAGAACAAGTCTCAAAACAGCCAGGCTAGCCCTGTTCACTAAGCCCTGAGTTCTCTCTGACAAGCTCAGAGTGGTCTGAGACACAGAGGGCATTATCAACCCCATTTAACAAATCAGGAAACTGAGGCATGGTGAGAGCAAGTAATGTGTTTAAGGGCATACAACCATTAGTGAGAGCTGGATTTGAATTTGAATTCAGACCTGTCTAAACCCAGAGCCTCAACTCCTATGAATCTGTCTACTCACTGGCCCAACTCACCTTTCCTTGAGCTGTTGCTGTTCTTCCACGTAACTGTTCGATGAGACCTGCTCAAGACAGGGTACCGTGGGCCTCAGGCTCAGCCCTGGGCCCCCCAGCCCTGCCCCCGGCCCCCAGGCCCACCAACCTGAAGTCTCTCATTGGAGGTCTCCCCGTCTGAACTCTCCTCGTCAACGTATTTGCTGTGCAAGGAAGGATTGGGGCTTCAAAACAGACTCACCACAGTCTGTCTATCCCAGCACAGTGAGGGGCAGTTACGAGCAGCAGGTGGGAACGGGCCAACAAGGGTGCAGGCCATCATGGAAGAAGCTGCTCTCTGGAGTTCCCTCAATTCTGGTGATTCACTGGCTTCTTCCCACCCCTGCCCCAAAGACCCCCATGCATCCGCTGGCTCTGGGAAGGTGGGGAATCATATGTGGCAGGCCTTCTCCTCACCCTTCTTTCTCCAGGATAACCTTCCTCTCATAGTCCTTCAGGTACATGGGTCGCACCTTCTTTTGCTTCTTGGCTGCCAGCTCCTCCTCACTCTCCGAGGGTGTTGCTGCAGAATCACCAAAAGACGCCTGCTATTACCAACCACAACGTCCTTCTTTCCCCAGACAGAGAATACCACTGGGCTAGGCCAGGGTCAGACGAAGGCTTCATTTCCCCAGGCCACCAGTTCCCAGATATACAACAGTTATCATACTAGCTACCGCCTGGTAGTACCTGGCAGGGATAACTCAGTGAGTAACTCTCGCTCTGAATGAGGCACACGGTTATTAACATCAACAGGTAATAATCTAAGATATTCTGCTAAGCATTTTTGATATAAAATGATTCATTAAATAGTCACAACAGATGATAAGGCCATGAGGAACCTCGGCCTTGGAGAGGAGCAGCCCCAGACCTGTTCTCTCGTAGAAGGTAGCATCTTTCTGATAAATGCAAGGATCCTTCTTCTTCAACAGGGAGAGTGTCCTGTAAAAGTCTCGTTCCTGCTGAGGGTCGAATTCCTAGGGCAAGAAAAGGATTGGGAACAGGTGTCAGATAAAAGGTGGTGAGAGTGATGGAAGGCAGTAGCAACTGGGGTAAGTGGGCTGAGAGGGTATGGGAATTAGGGTGGAGGGATGGGGGTACATTAGATGGAATGAAAGGGGATCTCACTAGGGAGAGGCAGGTGTGGTGCGGGGGTGTCAAACAGGGAGAGAAGGGAGGGAGGGCCATAACATAACAAGTACAAGACCAGAGACAGAGGAGGGTAGCAGACAAAGGGCTAATACTTCCTGAGGACCTGGGATTGACATGGGGCAGGTAGAAGAGATGGCCCATGGCAGACAGCAGGAGTGACTGAGCTGCACAGTGGGGTGGGAAGATGATGTGGCTGATGTGGGGAGAAGCTGGGTGCCCTGTGTGGCAGATGCCCCACTTCGGGGACAGTAGCAAACAGAAATGGTTAGATTCTTGGAAGGTAAAAAGGGGGAGAAAGGGGTCACACCAAACACAGCAGGATGAACAGGTGGATCCATAGCGGGGGGAGGGGTGGATTTGGCCACCCCCTGAGAATCAGGAGGGCACCTGTCTGATACTCATGGGATTGGGGGCGAGGGGTTGGAAGCGACGGGTTTGCGCGCTAGCCGATCGCAGTAGTTGGATTCAGAATATGGTGGCGGCCTTGAATGCCTCCCGTACGTCCGGAGCCCGGGTAAGGAAGCTCACCACCCGCTCGTCACTGGAGTCAGACTCGGAGCTGGAGTCCTCTCCGCCGTTTCGGTCCCGGTATCGATCTTTCACTGCGGGGGAAAGATGGGAGGCCCCCAGATCAGAATGGGGGGACCACACCAACCCCCACCTCCCGATGGCCCAGAAGCGTCGGCGACCCTCGAGCATGAGCCCCGCACTCACGCCGTTGCAGCTCCTCGCGTTCCCGGTAGCGGCTGTACCGCGCAGCAAACGCAGCGTTTACCCGCAAGGGAGAAGATCCGCGCGGTTCCGGCATGGCGGCCCTGCGGCCCACTGCGCACGCGTACGGCGAGCGTCCTGAGGCCGGTTGTTCTAGGCCCCGACCCAGGAGAACTTTAAAGGGGGAGGAGCTTCACAAACTTCGTCTAACCCCGCCTTCGGCTTTTCCGGAATCTCTTACGCCTCCTAACCGCAGTCCACGCCCACGGTCACGCCTATGCAGGGAAGGCTTCAGCCACCGCCCACCCCACCCCCCGGACTACCCGCACCCAGCTGACATCTGGGGGCCCTTTCTCCACTCGCGGTTTCCTGCCTCCCTTCCGTTCCGACAGTGCAAACCGCTGCCTCACCCAACTCACTCACTCCTGGTACCCTGGGAATTACTACTCTCTTCCCTCCCCGAAGCGTCCACGATCTGCGACCCTCGTGCCCACCCCCGCGAATATCCTGGACGTGTGACTCTCCATCTCAGACTCAAAAATCACAAGCCACCAGCACTTTGATCACGCACAAGAATTAATTTAATGGGTAAAACATTAAATTACCACACAACTTTTTTCCACAAAGATTAATAAATAGAATCTTTTTTTTTAATGCTGTACAAGAAGAGACTGGAAAACAAGCTTCCAACAAAATACGAATGAACTCATACCACCCTTTTATTCATTTGGAATTCCCCCCACCCCCCATGCTCAAAAGCAGTGTGCACCTTGAGGTCTCTCTCTGGGTACAGTCAGCCAAAGTTGCCAGGTTCCAGGAGCCCTGGAAGCAATGACCTCACTCTGGGGCTCAGGCTTTAAATGCCCTGCCCTTCAGACACATCAGCTGCCCCAGCAGTCTGGGAAGTGGAGGAAACTGAACCGTTTAGGTGGCTGTTGCTTACAGAAGTCCTTCTCACCAAACACACAATAGGGAAAAACAAATGAGAAATGCCCCTTAAACACACAAACCCAAGAAATCAATACCAACAAACCACAAACTGGTGTCCCTCCAGTTTGGCAGGAAGAGCAAAAAGAGAAAGTGTTTCTTTCCTCCTCTTTTGCGATAGAACCCAGCTGGGTCCTGTTGCTGTAGTAAGTGGCCCTGGGTCACAGTGGTGCCACCATGTGCCCCTGCAGTATGTCCATAAGATCCTGAGCCCCTCTTCCCTGTGCCAGCTCCAGGGGTGTGAGCCCTCTGGTATCCCTGTGATGGAGATCAGACTCAGCAGCTAGGAAGCTGACCACAGCTGTGTGGCCTTCTCGCACTGCCAGATGGATGGGGAGCGCCCCGGTGTTATCAGGCGTGTTGACATCAGCACCATGCTCTACCAAAACCTTCAGAGTGTCGAGGAATCCAGTGCGGGCTGCATCATGGGCCGGAGTGGTGCCAGAGGCATCCTGGACATTGGGACTGGCACCTTGTTTCAGGAGCTCCAGGGCGATGGTGGGGCTGCCAAACATCATGACCTGTGCCAGGGCAGAGTGCAAGGGGGGTGTCCTCAAGGGAGGGATTCCAGGAAAAGACATCAATGAAAAGAGGGTTCATTCAGAAATAGGGAACATCAGAGAAGAAGTCATCTGGAGAATGGAAAAAGCCCAGGGAACACAAGCCCCTAGAGAACAAGGTCCCCTAGGAAGAGCAACCCCACCAAGAAAATGGTAACCCCTTAAGGATAAGACACTTCCTTAGGAATAGCCCTCATGTAAACTCACAAAGAACCTGAGACCCTCTCTAAAGAACCAGAGGACCACCCCCCTTCAGATGTGGGAAATCACCAGGAAACAAAAACCTCCAGGAAATTGGTCTCAGAATGAGAACTGTCCCCCACCCCAAGAGAAAACAGTCCCCTCAAAGGAAAGGGGATGCCCAGGGAATCTGAAACTCCTTCTCCAATAAATAGGTCCTCTCATATAATTGTAATGCTCCCCAGAGCACCCGAACCCCTCAATGGGGTTCTCCACTAAAATGACTCTCAGAGAATAGGGTACTACCATGAAATCTGTAACTGTTCTCCCAGTAGGACCCTCCCCATACACCAGGAATCTGAAAACACCCAATATAAACGCCCCCCCCCCAAGAAACTGGATACTTCTCATGGAACCCACTACACAATAAGAACGCCCTGGAGACATGAATCCCTCCTATCAGTGATCGGATTCCCCGTCTCCCGTCCCCACAGAAGCCCAAAGAAACCAGAGCCGTCCCCATGAAAATGGTACCCAAAGAAGCTGAACCCTCATTCATGGAATAAGAACCTTCCCAAGGAAACTGAATCCCCAGCACCCAAAGAACAAGGAATTCTCCAGAGATGGAAAACCTTCCCTTCCCCCATCCACCACCCACATACTAAAGGGGACCTCAAGGAGCAACGTCAGCCCAGAAATGGAGGACCGGATCCCAGTCGGCCACCACCCGGGCCAGGAGACTTTGGGGAAGGGGTCTGGGATCTCAGTTTTCTCCTGGCTCTGCCGCTCCGGCCTCGCTGCTGTGCAGACCGGCCTCACCTGCAGCGCTGTCTTGCCGAAGCGGTTCAAGACATCGGGGTGCACCAGCTCACGGGACAGAAGGCGGCGCACCTCCAGCACGTCGCCCCGGGCCGCGGCTCCGCTTAGCCGGTCGCCGGCGCAGACCTCCTCCAGCAGCATGTCGACACTGACGGCCTGAGAAGCCCCCCGCCCCACCCCGGCGCGGTCAGGGCGGGGAAAACCGCGGATACTGGCCCAAATAGCCCTCCCTCTGAGTGCCCAGCCAGCGCAAGGCTGCGGGCCGGGCTAGCCAGGCCGGGGCTCCAGCGCGACCCCCACCTTCCCAGCCGGCTCCTCCCCTCTGTCAACCCGCAGGTTGCAAGGGGCTGGGAACCCGGCCCAACCCTCCAAGGCCCGCAGGGGGCCCGGTCTCCGCCCAACCTACCCTCCCTCTTCCTCTTCGGGCGGGGTCTCTTCTGAGCGGAGAACGCCGACGCAGCCTCGGAGCGGTCCGCTAGGGGGCGGAGTCAGCACGCTCTAGGCCCCGCCCCTGAACGCGGCAGATTTGTTTTCTTATGAACTAGCTACTTTGTAGCCCGGCTGTGTTGCCCGGCGCCCGACCTTGCGGCGCTCAGCCCACACGTTTAGTGCAACCAATGGCTACGCGTTGCCTAGGAGGGTTTGCGCTCCGCCGTGGGCGGTGCCGCTCCTGATTGGCCGATCCACGGCGATTGGTGGACCGCCCGCAATGGCGGGGTTTTCGGTTTTTCAAATGCTCCTGGCGGGCGGGAGAGCGTGTCCGTTTAACTGACCCGAGAGAGAAAGGTCAGGGTTAGGGTAGCGCGGGCTGCTCCAGGACCTCGGCACCTCCATGAGGGAAAGGAGGTAGGAGGGGGGCTGTCCAGTCCGGGGCTCCTCCATTCAGCCACGCGGTAAGAATTTATTTGCCTTTACAGGGCGCGGAGCGTTTTATTTCATTCATTCACTCATCACGTACAGTGCGGGGGAAGCTCACATTCAAGCACCTAAATAATTTAAGATAGCATTAAGCACCATGAAAAAAAATAAAACGGGGAAATGAAGGTGGGTGAGGAAGAAATACCGTTTCGGCTCAGATTGAGCCAGCCCTAGCCTAAGTGCAAGGGTGAGGAGTAACGTTCACGCCACAACTGCCACGTGGTTGAGTCTGGGAGGTGGCTCTTACAGAGGCCTTCATTCAAACATTTATTGAACACCTGCTATGTAGTAGGCGCCCAACTGGAGAACGAGCTACCGTTTAGGGCAGGAGAGGACAATAATTAAATCTTTAAAGAGCGGTAAACGATAAGGCCTGATAAAATGGGATAAATGATAGTCTTTTGGGAAAGGAAGGCCGTTGAAATACAGAGGTCAGGGAGGGCCACTCTGAGTTGGTGACACTGATTTGAGACCTAAAGGTACGGACGTGAAGGAGCCGTGGGGATATCTAAGGAAAAGCTTGCTAGGTCAAGGGCACTACAGACCCAAAGGACCTAAGGTGGGAAGGTGCCTGGTGTGTCCCGGAAGAGCGAGGAGGTGAGGGCTAGTAGGTGGCGAGGTGGATAGCTCAGATCATACTAGGCTGGTGGGTTGCCTTGAGGACTTGACTTAACCAGGTGGGAAGCATGGGAGGGTTCTAAGAGTCAGGATCTGACTTAGAAGTTAACAGGCGCCCTCTGGCGGCTATGAGGGGAACTGACGGGTAGGGGAGAAAAGTCCCCAGCCAGAGGACCGAGGTGGAGGCACCTGGGCTGGCCTAGATAAAGTATGACCTCGGCTGAAGGATGGATGTACGTTGCCCACCCCCATCCCACAATCCAGGGACGCCCCTGGTATCCCCAGGCAAGAAGCACATACACAAAGGCTAAATTCATCTTTTTAATGCCATCCTAAAATGCAGAAGAGTGGGCCAGAGAAAGGCCTCTGGGCTCAGCAGCTGTGAAGGAGGAGGGGCCCCCACATCCCTTAAGGCAAGTCACTGCAAGAAGGCACTCCTGGAGGGACTTCAAAGCCCCTCCTCTCTTGATATGAAAGTGGAAGTGTAGGAGCTGGGAAGCAGAGGTAGGAGGGAGACCATCCCTCCCAGTCTATGGGTAAACAACAAGACTGGGGGGTGGGGCCCAGGTTCTGGGAGCAGGAAGCAAGAAACTGCTAAGCCAACAAGCAGCCTGCTCACACACACCTTCCCTACCTTCTTTCCCTCTCTCTAAAGTCTGCAGTCAGGGCCTATGGAGAGGGAGGCCCATGTTCAAGCCCCTACATCATTTCCATTCTAGCTGGTACGAAGTTGATAATCTGCAAGAAAACAATGAGCAGAGACCATCTCAGAACTGAAGAAAAGGCACAGAGGGACAGTCGTCGTCCCCCCCCCCCCCCAGGCTTCTCCCTAGCTCCAGTGTTCATGGTCAACCCTGCCAGGCTAAGGATGGCATCAAACACAGGGACTGTACCCATAGTAATATGCCTGTGTCCAGGCAGCAAATGGGGGTGCTATGTGTTTGTAGCACTCAGGAACTGACAACTGCCCCCATTTTAAAAATGGGCACGCCAAGGCCCGGGGTGGTGTGCTGACAAAGACAGGGTAGGCCTGTTGAGTTTTGGAGCCCTCCAAGTGAGAATCAAAGCTCCAAGACCATCCCCATCATCAATCCCCTGGATCCCAATGTCCCAGGGAGTCAGGCTGCCTTACCACCACTCTGGGTGATGTAGCGGACCCAGGGCAGGGCCTGGTAACCACTTTTCTCGATGATCTTCATGTATCGGACCTGGAAGGAAATGAAAGGAGGTAGCCCAGGCTGATGGGGAGAGGGCTTGCTGGGGCCAGAGGAATATATGTGACACAGCTGGGGAGAATAAGATGGCACTGTCTGGGAGTAATGACGTGACATGACTTGGGACAAAGATGTGGCATGGACAGGGGGAATGGGGGAAAGGAAGGTGGTCCAGGACAGTGGTCCAGAAAGAGATGGTACAGTGTAAGGAAATAGACACAACACAACTTTGAGGGGACAAGGTGACGCAGGCCACGGGATAGGTCAACAACTTGTGGGTGGGAGAGGGATGAAGTGAACAAACTAGTGGAGAATAAGACGGCACAGAGCAAAGTGAGAGGCAGAGGGAGAGGAGACCCAGGCTGAGAGCAGAAGAGGCAACACTGTCCTGGGGAAAAGGCAAGGTTGACTACGGAGGAGAGGTGACCCAGGTCAGGGAACAGAGGTGACCTGAGACAAGAGATGGCAGAGAGGGGAACATAGTGAGGTCAAAGAGAAGAGCCACCCTGCTCACTTCCCTTACCTGAATCCCGGAGACAGTGAAATAAGGGATCTCAAACTTGACCCCAATGGGTGGTCGGCCCTCTTCCTCCTCCTTCTCCACACTGGGGAGGCCAAAGTGGGCACGCATCAGGTACTCCTTGCCCCCCTAAAGGCACATGGGAGCATCAGACACACTGAAAGGTCCCTAAACACCCCCAAACAATCTTCATAACAGCCCCTGGAGTAGGCTCAGCTCTCAGCCCCCATTTTATAGACAAGAAAGATTCCTGGCCAAGACTCATAGCCAAAGCTGACTGCATAGCCTGGATGGAGGGTGTGGGGGGGGCACTTCTAATTACCATCTCTCATTTTTCAGGCCCTGATGAACCCTTTCCCCAGATTCTAGGGACAGACTAAATCCTTCATGGGCCCAAGGATGCTGATAACATAATCCTGCCTCTTTCAGATGGGTAAACTGAGGCTCCATGAAGGGAAGAGGGTTTCCTAAGGCCATCAAGGCCACCCAGCTTAGAGAGGCAAGAGTCGGGTGGGAATCCAAACCCAAAGCTGGTTTCCTCCAGACCTGAGGAGGGAATTTGAACACCATGCAGGCCTGGTGCCCAGCTTTGTTACCCCCAAGGACAAACATGTGCAGGCAGATGTGTGTCTCTGATTGGTTCTCCACCTGACGACCCTCAAGAAGTTGAAGTGGGTCCCCCCCCGAGATCCCACCCTTCTCCAATGCTCACCGGGAAAGATTTAATACTCCAAATCACAATGTTCTTCTCGGGCACGTACTTGGCACTGCCCACACTGGTCTTGAAACGTGGGGAGTCAGCATCACTGGGTACTGGCACAGATATCTCCACACCATTGGCCACCGACTGCTTCTTAAACTGTCCCTTGGCCTGTTGAGGGGGAAAGAGGGTACAGCAGGAAGAATTTGCTCATGGGTTTTGTAATTATTCAAGATACACTTTCCATGAACCATCTCATTGAGAACCTCCATAGTCCTGATCTGAGGACCAGTGTCCTGCCCAATTCACAGAGGAGGAAAACAGTGGCTCAGAGAAGCAAAGGCATTTACCTGCAGACACACAGCCGGCAGGTGCTAGAGCCAGGTCCACACATGTGAGAGACTCCAGAGGCTCTACCCGTGGTACCTTCCATTTGGAAAATGTCATATACCTTTGCCTGGTTCAGAATGACTGAGTCCAAAACAGAGGTGTTTTCATTTGATAGGGGCCACTTACTGAGCCCTTACCATGTGCCAGACCCTGTGCCAAGCACTTACTCTTCTCAATGATTCTCTAATGTAGGATCTATTCCTCAGGTCCATTTTCCAGGAGACTGGGGCACAGAAAGAGTCCTTTGCCCAAGTCACAAAGCTGGTAACTGGCACAGGAGAGATTCAAACTGAGCCTGCATCCTCAACCATTACATGCCCTCCTTACAGATAAATGAAGAAGTTACAACACTATATTCATATCCAGAGCTGTGTGATACAGAACAAGCTTTTAACACAAGGATTCTAAGTGTTCCATGTGTGGTAGCTAACATTATAATTACTGCTGTTATTTATTCATTTGGGGAGGGATATTTGAGAGGTGGGATCTGGAGCAGAGAGCCTGGAGATAAATGGGGGCGGGCATTGTTTTTATGGAAGGCAACAGCTTTAATAACCCCTCTCCCTTTCTTGCCTGCAGAGATGGGGACATTAAGGGGCATCAGGACCCTCCCTGGTGACCATCCACTATACAACCCAGCTCCCCAGAAACCTCAAGACCAGGGAACAAAGTCAAGTCTAAGAACACAGACTCCTGAGTCAGGTGGACCCAAGTTCAACGTTGGGGCACCCTCTTCCTAGATAAGTGACATCTTAATCCCCTGTGCCTCAGTTTCCCCATATGTAAAAGAGGGCTAAACTATACGCTCTGGAGAAGTTCTTTCATGTGGCACCAGAACACATGCAGAGCTGTTTACAGCAATAGGAACTAGAACAGCCAAGAACTGAAAACACCCCATGTGAGAGAATGGAGAGATATAGAAGATTTCCATGGTGGAATATTCTGCAGCTGTAGAGATGGATGCACTAAGATATGACACCCAGAATTCATCATCAAATCAACGTTACATGAGCAAAGTAAGTTATACACACAATCAAACACCAGTATGAGGGTCAGAAACTGGCAGAATAAAATATTTGTGGTTATACATGTGGGTGGCAAAATTATGAAGAAAAACAAAGAAATTATTTATGTAAAACTCAAGATTGAGCCCTGGCCAGGTGGCTCAGCTGGTTTGAGCATTGTTCTGTACACCAAAGGGTTGTGGGTTCGATTTCTGGTCAGGGCACATACCTAGGTTGTGGGTTCCATCCCTGGGTGTGTATGGGAGGCAACTGATAGATGTTTCTCATATCAATGTTTCTCTCTCCCTTCCTCTCTCTCTAAAATCAGTAAACATATCTTTGGGTGAAGATTAAAAACAAAATTCCAGATGGTGATTCCGTCTGGGTAAGGGGAGAGCAGAAATTGGGGGAGTGAGGTGGGGACATGTGAGGACATGTGAGGTAGGGACATTCAGAGGCTCTGGTCAAGTACATTTGAATAAGCTGGGTAGTTCATTATTCTTTAAATCATATAAATATTATATATATTTAATGAGAGTAAATTAAACATGTAAGTAAAATAGATCATATGATGATAATAGGAGAAAAGTATAGCAAAGAAGGGAGGTAGGGAATGCTAGGGGTGGGGTACCATTCTAAATAGGTAAATTAGGGAAGGCCTCTTGGAAGAGGTGACATTTAAGCAAAGAGCCTAAGGAGATGGAGAAAAGGAGTCATGTGTATATCTGCGTGAGTGGGAGTGGAGCGACCCAGGGAAAGGGAACAGCCAGAGCAAAGGTCCTGCATGGGTGGAGGGACCAGTTCCTGGCATGTTTGGGTACCAGCCAACAGACCAGTGTGGCTGGAAGAAAACGAACCAGGAGGGAGGTTCGTGGGAGAGGGGGTGGAAGGGGCAGATCAAGCACTGTGCACAACTGTTCTTCCAACCCACCTGGTCTTCCTACCCACCTTGACCATGATCTCTACACGACTGTGGGAGAACTTCTCAATGACAGACTCAATCCAGATCAGCGGCTTGACCTGTAAACAGAGAAAAGGGGAGTTCTGGAAGGCCCTGGGGTCAACTTTCCTCCCCTGCCATGGGGTTTGACTCTGCCTCACCTGGGTGCTGAGGCGGTAAGACATGAGCTCGAAGTCACCATCCGGTGGGATAAAGGAAATGGTGCGGTCATTGTCAAAACGAGAAAGTCGCACACACTGGTGAAATTTCACATCCTCCAGTTCCACGGATTTGTTCTTGCTCCCTGAAACTCGGAGCCAAGCATGCAGGATGACCCTAGGGGCCAGGAGAGGGCCCCTACCCCTATGTTAATCATCCACTGCTATTATCACCCCCATTTGACGGATGAGGAAATTGAGGCCCAGAGGGGATGAGTAACTTGCCCAGTCACCCCGTTGGCACTGTCGGGCTATTAAATACAGTGCTATTATGTCTTCTAGGATAGTCTAGAATGTCAGCTCCATGAGGGCCAGGATTTGTCTTCTTCACCCCTTGTCCTTGAGCCTGGTACTAATGAGGAAGCATTTGCTCAATGAACCAGCAGCTGTAGTGTTGGCTATGACCAGCAGAGGGGGCACGAGTACTTATTTCAGAACTGGTTTCAGCAATTCTCTGGGGCCCAGATGCAAAGGGGTCTCCGTTCCCACATGAACCCTCCTGCAGACACTTACGGCCAGTGAGCTCAAAGAGGACTCGGTCATTGAGGCCAAGCCGCAGCTCTGGCATTCCTGATAGAAACACCTTGAGCTTGATGGTGCCCACAATCTCGCTCAGCAGGACACTGCCATTAGCATTGACCTGAGGATGCAGGCATGGTGATAGGGGGTTAGCAGGCAGAGGGTCCTCTCTCCTGCCCCCAGACCATGGCACAGACAGGGTGGAGGTGTGGGGGCTCACCAGCAGGTTGACAGACTCTATGACGTCAATGAAGACCTCATTCTTCTTGTACTTGATGCCCTCGGAGCGCCAGGACACAGCATTGGTGACAGTGGGCGGCACCCGCGACTTGCCTGTCTCCAGCTTGTTGCCCTGCTGTGTGATGTACCTAGCAGGACAGCAGGGAGCATAAACAGGTGGGCCCAGGGACACTTCCCTGGACATCCTCAACTTCCACCATGACCTGCCCTGTGGCTGCTCCCATGGCCTACTCACTCCTGCAAAATCTTGCTGTCTGTGGTCTGGGGGAAGCCAAAGTCCATGAGCTCATCCAGTAGCTCGTAGACGATGACAAAGTTGTCTCGGATGCTCTCCTCCTCCAGCTCCTTGAAGTATTCAGAGAATACCTGGAGGTGCGGGGAACAGATACTCACAGAGGTATAGCTGGTGTAGCCATAGGCTGGGTCCCCACTGATCCAGCCATTCATCCAACAAGCAATTATTAAGTGCCTACTTTATATCAGTGCTGGGACATTAATGTGAACAAAACCCACAGACAGAGTCCCAGCCTTCAGGGAAAAGTCTAGTGGTGGGAATGGACTGGTAACAGAATCAATATAATCCAACTTGTTGGGTAAAATAGTGAGGAAAACACAAGGAAAGAAGGAGCCCAGAGGCGGGAGGTTCAGGAAACTTCCCAGAAGAGGAATTAGAACTGCTTGTTTGTTTTTGTGGGCCATGGATCCCTGCATATCTGGTGATGTTTATGGACCCGCCTCAGAATAAGGTTTGCAAATGCACAAAATAAAATACACAGTGTAACGAAGGGAGCCTGTTATACAGAAACATGACTAAGAGCATGGACTTTCTGGATTCTAGCCATAGGTCCTTTGAAGTCTGGGGACCCCATGTTAAGAGCCCCTGAGAATTAGTAGGCATAACCACAGAAGAGGAACTGTTAATCATCAACATTTGACCCACACTCTACCACTCATTCTGCTCCAACCTCATTGGCTTTTCCATTCCAACCCCAGGACCTTAGCATATGCTGCCCCCTCTGCCTGGAACACTTTCCCTTCAGTTTGCTTCACAAAGGACTACTTGTCATTCAGGCCTCAGCTCGAATGTCGCCTTCCCAATGAAGTCACTCCCCACCCCCATGAGTATTATGCAATGGTGAAAGTAGGATCTCAGTCACTGATTTAATCTCCTTCATGTCCTTTAACTCCTCAGGACAGACAGGGGCCTGTCTAATGCATAGCTGTGCTTTCTATTTGCCCGGCAGAGATGAGGCAAATCAATAAGCATTTCTCATTCACTGAAAAGCATTGATTGAGCGCTTTCTCAGTCATTGAGAATGGCATATGGCAAGAGCTCAATAAATTATGATATGATTTTATAACATTAGTGATAATGCTAACAGGAATATCAAACCTTTATTGAGCACTTAGTGTACACTGGGTACTGTTTTAGGCACTTCAGAGGTATGGATTTTATTAATTTCTACAACCCCAAGGTAGGACTTGCTATAAGCCCCAGTTTCGAGGCACAGAGAAAAGTGATTTGCTGAAGGTCACACATCCAGGAAGCAGGGAAAGCTGGGATTGGAGCCTAGGTCACTCTGGCTCAGATTTGTACAGTTGCACCCTCTCGGAGACCCCCTTGGTCCCTGCCCTATAGGGAGACATGGTCCCATAGCAGACAGGAAGAACACAGAGTGACGGGGCTTTGATGGGAGCACCCCCAGGGAGGTCAGGCAGAGCATCTTAGGAAAGATGGACCCTGAAAGAGGTGGACAAGACAGGTGGACAAACAGACCAGCTGGCCAATGGGAGGCCAGAACCTACCTCCACTGTCTTGTAGAGGAAGGAGTACACGAGTGAGGCATTGGCATTCTTCAGTGTGGTGGCCACCACTGTGGGCAGCGAGGTTAAGGAAAAAGTGCCATTTGGAAGGGCTCCAATGAAGCACAGACCCTGAACCCCGACCCTGTTCCCAACCACAGCCCCCATCTCCCATCTCTTTCCCCCTACCCCACACCCCAGCTTGAGCCTCCAATGATGTGCTGTGCAACTCTTATCTGCAACCCACCCTCTCTGGGCCTGAGCTGCTACCACCCCAGCCCCCAGGGACCTCCACCTATGGCTGGATACAGTAGAGGTTGCTGTGTTTAATCCACAGGAAGTGGACTCGGCCGTGGCTCAGCAGTGGGGCCAGGGCGCCCTCCTCCTCCCGCTGCATGAGCAGAGGCATAAAGTGCTCTATCTCGCTCATGGCCACATCACCTTTGTAGTTGCGACTGATCAGGGGCTAAGGGTGGGCAGAGAAGGCCTAGTCACCACTGGGATGTGGTGACCCTCCAACCAGGGGCATTGGAGTACCTGGTTCTGACCCTACTTCCTGGCCCAGGGGCCTGAGCAAGGCTCTGCCTCTCTGCACCTCAGTTTCCTCCTGTGAAATGGACACGTGATAATAACAGCTAACATGTCTACAACCCTCACATGTTCTACCAAAGATTGGATGTTAGGCACTCTCCCTCCCGGGAGCTCGGCCACACCTTTCTTTCCCAAAAGGCACGCGTCTCCTAAACTCTAAGTCTCCATGAGACTAGCAACCAGGGTAGCGATGGGCGGCGGCAGCTTGTCCTGGGCTGACCCTTGATCCCGTCTCTATAGCCTTCCTCTTTCTGACTTTTCAGTGAGCCAATGGCAGCCCTACCTAAGCTCCTTTCTTTCCTGTAACATTTCTAGAGGACCATCTGGGCTCTCTCCTGCTGCCTCTTCTATGCTAAGCCCTTCTTTGTCTCATTGTCCCCAGCTTTAATACATGTATTCTGAAAAAAAAATACAATAAAATAAAAAGGACTGGGTATTTTCTTGCTGACTTAGTTCTCACCACAACCCTGTGAGGTAGGTGTCATTGTCACCTCCACATTACACATGCGGAAACTGAAGCAGGAACTGTGTTCATAATCAGTGGGAAATTGAGAACTGAGCCAAGTGCCCTGGCTCCAGAAGTCCTGCTTTTGCCCGAGGCTTCATGTGCACCAAATCGGCAAGGTTGGGATGGCGAAAGGCAAGAAGGAAGGATGGAAGGAAGAAAAGGGAGGGAGGGAGGAAGGAAAGGAGGAAGGGAGGGAGGGAGGGAGGGAGGGGGAAAAAAGGATTATGCCAAGAAACAAGAAAGAAAGGAAGGAAGGAAGGAAGGAAGGAAAAGAAAGATTATGCCAAAAAAGGGGAAAGGGAAAAGAAAAAAGATTATGTCCATATATATATTTTTAGTACTTATAGCTCTGCCTGGCAGGTAGTAAGTAGTCAATAATAATACACCTGCTTTGTAAGGTTGTTTAGTCCAGGGATTAGAACTGGGATGGCAAACACTTTAGCTCTCCCTATTATTATCAGAAATATTTCCCCCATCACTCTTATTATTGCTATTGAGTAACAAGATGAATGAGAGGGAAAAACAACCCCAAAGGGGAATTAGGGTCCCCCACCCCACTGTCTTCCCCAAATATTAATACTGTGGATGAAAATGCTGACAGAAAGAGCAATTTTAATTGATCTATCGACCACGTAATGTTTGCAGCAGGACACTGGTTTACAATCAGCTTTGGGTTGTATTGCTATGGGGTGGGGACCCTTGCCGTTTCCATTTTTACAGATAGTGAGACTGAGGCTCAGAGCGGCGAAGCCCCTTGACTCAGAGACGAGACTAGTTAAGAGTGGAGGTGGGCCTGGACCTGGAACTCCCCGGGATTGGGGGAGGGGTGTTCCCACGCCCTCAGGGCTATCAGGGGCTTCCCGGCCTGCGAGGAGGGGCTGCCCCTAAGTCTGGGGGAGAGCAACCTCACCTGTCCGTCCCCCACCTCCACGCCCAGCCTCACCTTGCCCTTGACGTCGAGAATGAAGACAGCCGAGGCAGACATGGTGGCGGCCGGAGGACCCGGGAGGCCGGGAGGGAGGGCAGGAGACGAACGTGGTGCCGCTTCCTTCTTCCTGCGGAAGCGCCCGCGCACAGGTGAGCGCCCAGGTGAGCGCGTCTTAAAGGGGAGGCCGCCAGGTGAGCGGCGTTGTCAGCGGAGGAAAAGACAGTGAGGGGAATGGAAGGGGCAGGACTTCGGACCAGACAGCTACGCGGTCTCACTTTTCTATGGCACCCAGGAGTGCAGATGGATGGAGACCCCAGAGCAGCCAGCCGTCCGTCTGTCCGTCCGTCTATCCATCCATCCATCCATCTTGTCCTTTCCACACTCATGTAGTCCTACCTATTAGGGCAGGGACTTTGTCCTGTTCACGTCTGTGCCTCCAGTGCCCAGCACTGAGTGTTCAATAATATTTGTCCAAATCATTATGTCCTTCCCTCATTCACGCAATCAATATTTATGCATTATCCTTTCATGCAGATATTTACTCATTAGTAAATTCTTTCACTCAGTGACAGGACCTGTGGATTGCACTCTTATTCATTCAAAACATATGTATAAGAAGTGCTCACTTAAGCAGCATATATACCAAAAAATATTTATAAGCTCCTATATGTAACATTAAGATGTTGATAGAATGCTTAAGAAATAGTTATTATTATTCTGATTATAATTTTTTAAAACGCAAAGCCTATATTTATTAATCTTAGAGAGACAGACAGACAGACATCAATTTGTTGTTCCACTTACTTATGCATTCATTTGTTGATTCTTGTAGGTGCGCTGACCTGACCAGGGATCAAACCTGCAACCTTGGCATATCCAGACAACACTCTAACCAACTGAGCTACCCGACCAGGGCCTTATTATGACTTTAATTATGATAATTTACTCATTTAAAAAACATTTATTAAGCACCTACTGTGTGCTAAAGTGGATCTATGGAAGTCGTTTTCGTTATGGTGATGACTCACTCCTCAAGTGCGTACTGAGGGAGCCTGTGGCGCTGTGGACGGTGATGCAGGCAGACCTGCTCTCTGCTCTCCTTCTGGGGAGGGCGAGAGGCACACAGTGTAAAACCCCCCACAGAAGGTGATCCCTGGAGAGGATGGGAGTGGTGAAGCCAACTCAACTGGAGGCAGGGATGGGGGTGTGCATTGGGGAGTGAATGGGGGGTGGGCTGTGTGCAGGGAGATTAGAGAAGGAGGTAACATTTGAAAATTTTTTACCTCAACCTAATGAATGAGGACAAGTCAAGGGAAGGAGCGCCAATGCAGAGGCTGCACAGAGCTGGTACTAGTGTTGCTTTTATTGTTGGTTATGTGTGCTTTCTGAGCACGTGTGCTCCAGGGACAGCTGCTTAAACTCAGGTCCTGGCTCTGCGATCAGCCAACTTGGTGGCCTTGGGCACCTGGTCTCCCTCCTTGGGTCTCAGTTTGCACATTCATGAAATGTTAACTGCACGTTCGAGCAGTTAATTACTGCACTTTCCTAATTAAGCTACAGTCAGACTGCAGCCTGGCCAGGTGGCTCAGTTGGTTGGAGTGTGATCCCAGACACCAAAAGGTTGTGGTTTCAATCCCACTCAAGGAGCCAATGGGAGACAACTGACCCATGCGTCTGTCTGTCTGTCTCTCTCCCTCCCTTCCTTTCTCTCTAAAATCAATAATCATACCCTTAGGCGAAGATTATGAAAAAGTTGTAGTCAGACTGCATGAATTCTTACACACAGCATAATGCTTGGAGGAGTACCTGGGGTGTAGCTAATGCTTAATAATACTATTATTTGTTATTGTTTATTTATTTATTTTTAATGGAGAGTTTTTTAATTATTTTTTTTAGAGAGAGAGAGGGGAAGGGAGGGAGAAAGAGAGGAAGAGAAGCATCAATGTGAGAGAGAAACATCTATCAGATTGGTTTTCAGGGACTGAACTTGTAATCCAGGCATGTACCCTGACTGGAAATTGAACTGGCCACCTCACTGGCCAGGGCTAGTTTTTATTTTAGAATAAAGCAAATTTCATTCAAGTAGAGAGAAAGAAAGAGACCAGGGTGCAAGTGCTTCTGGGAAAGAAGCAAAACATACACATCTGAGTGGACCTGGGTCAGCTCAAGAGTGAGTCTCTCCTTATTATTATTTACTATATGGCCGTTAAGAGCACAGGTGCTGGGTTTGAATCCTGACTTCACCGTTGACTGTGGGACTATGGTTAGTGATTGCACCTCTGTGCTTCAGTCTCCCTTTCTGTTAAATAGGCATAACAGCCATGGTGCCACTTCCACAGTCAGAGCTCGCTGAGCTCACTGAACTCATGCCTGGCACTGCGTCTATGCTCCCTGCCCATCAATTGCTGCAGACTAGGGTTCCACCCCATTGCTGTGTGCAATCTGGGCTGCAGGGAAGTTTGGGGGAGGAGGAAAGAAAAGGGAAATTCAATCTTAGCCTGGCTGACACTGATCCTGTTCCATGGAGGCAGGGAGGGTCCTGCAGGCCTCCAGGGCAGACGCTCAGCTCTCTCAGGCCTCATCCTTCATTCCCCAAACCCAGCCCCAAACCATCACCAGTCTCTTGGGCTGGGGTGGGTGTCTCTGGAGGAGGCTTTCGAGAGGAAGGAGAGGATCCGAAACTATCAGAACCCCCCACTGGCATGTAACATCAACAACAACACAATTGTGACAGCAATATGCACATTCATTGGGCACTTACCTTCCAAGACCTCTTCAGGTCCTTTTTATTTTATTTTTTAAGATTGTTGTCCTGGCTGGTGTGGCTCAGTGGATTGAGTCCTGGCCTGTGAACCGAAAGATTACCTGTTCAATTCCTGGTCAGGGCACATGCCTGGGTTGCGGGCCAGGTCCCCAGTTAAGGGCATGTGAGAGGCAACCAATCAATGTTTCTCTCCCTCTCTTTCTTCCTCCTTTCCCCTCTCTAAAATAAATAAACAAATAAAATCTTTTTTAAAAAGATTGTTACATTTTGCTGTGTTGACTCTGGTCTTTCCAACCACAGTTTTCCTGATGATTCAGAATCTGAAGGGAAGACTTTCTTGTCTTCTGACATTGGAAGAAGCAGAGGTGAGAGAGGTGAAGCCACTGGTCCACGGCCTCACAGCCTGGAGGCAGTGGAGTCAGAATTTGAATTTGAGTCTTAGCGGCCAGGTCCCAGCCTTCACCCAACTGCTCTGCTGCATTGTGGGATACATTTATTTTATTACTAACAATAGCTCACACCTAGATGGTGCTTACTATACCCAGGTGCCGCCCTAACTGTGTCCCATGCAGAAATCCCCCATGAAACTATACTTTGAATTAGGGAACCTATTATTTTCATTTGACAGATAGGAAGACTGAAATTCAGAGAGTGAACGATTTGGACAAAGTCACCTGTACAGCTAGAATTCTAGTATTGTAAACCCTAAGGTTTTATGCTGCCTCATTCTCAAATAGAGGTGTCCTCCATGTTCTCACCAGCCCCCTGTTCAGATGATCCAGCCCTGACTGATGTGGCTCAGTGGATTGAGCTCTGGCCTACCAGCCAAAAGGTCACTGGTTCAATTCCCAGTCAGGGCACATGCCTGGGTTGTGGGCCAGGTCCCCAGCTGGGAGCGTGTGAGAGGCAACTGATTGTTTCTCTCACATAGCGATGTTTCTCTCCCTCCCTTCCCCTCTTTCTAAAAATAAATACATAAAATCCGTAAAATAAAGAAGAAGAAGGTGATCTAGGAGGGTTTCTGGAGCTGCCAGTCCCTCGTCCTAGCCCGGGTATTGTTGAACCTCACAAGGGTCCTTCTCCTGGGGCCCTGAGGTGTTTTCAGGCAGTAAATAGAACCTAAAAGCCTGGGCCAGGTGCCCTGGAATCTGAAACTCAAGTCCTATTTGGCTGAAAAATTCATGAGCCCCAAAGCTTTAGTGGGGTCAGAGAACAGAGCATCTCTGTGTGAACAGCTGCCCCGCCTCAGCTGCAACTTCCCCTGTCCCCAGGACCTGTGGCCTTGCCCCAGTTCCTCCTATGTGTCTGCAGCCTGCCCAGCTTCCCCTGAGGGAACCTTGCCTCCAGGCACCCTCAATCCCTTCTCCACACCATTAAAGGGATCTAAAACTGACAGCTCCTACCACCCTCCCTCACTCTCACACCCTCCATGGCTCCCCGTTGTCCTGAGCTGCCTTGCCTGGCACAGTCAGACCCTTGCTGACCTCTCCCACAAGGCACCACTTGAACCTGCTGCCCCAGACACACTGACTTCCCTAATTTCATCTCTTCACTCTTTTTCTCTTTCCTCTGGCACCTGACTGCTCAGTACACGCCTGCTTTTATTTTTACTTTCACCACCTCATCCTCGCCCAGCTCTCAGGTCTCCCATTCAGGAAGCCCTCTCTGATCTCCTAATCCATGCCTCGGTTGGACCCCTCCTATGGGCTTTCCCAAGTGTCTCCTGTTACAGCTGTGTTGCACCATATTTTTAAAAATCTATTTTTAAAAGATTTATTTATTTATTTATTTATTTATTTATTTTAAAATTTATTTTAGAGAGAGGGGAAGGGAGGGAGAAAGAGAGGGAGAGGAATTTCTATGTGAGAGAGAAACATCAGTTGGTTTCCTCTCTCATGCACCCCAACTGGGGCTGAACCTGAAACCTGGGCATGTGCCCAGGCCAGGAATCAAACCAGTGACCTCTTGTTTTTCGGGACAATTCCCAACTAATTGAGCCACACAGAGCTAAAAATATATTTTTAAAAACCATTTATTATGGTAAAGTATACATAACATAAAATTTAGCATTTTATTTATTGTAAGTGTACACTTTAGTGGCATTAAAGTACATTTACATTGTTGTGTAACCATCACCACCATCTGTCTCCCAAATTTTTTCATCTTCCCAAATTGAACTTTTCTCCCCATTAAACACTAACTCCCCATCCCCTCCCCCCACCCCTGGCTCCCGCCATCTACTTCCTGTCTCTATGGACCTGACTCCTCTGGGGTCCTCCTATGAGTGGAGTCATACAATAATTGTCCTATTGTGACTGGCTTGTTTAAATCTATTTTTTTAAAGTATCACTTTTCTTTTTTTAAAGATTTATTTATTTATTT